TGGCAAAGGACCATGGAATAAGCGGGATAATCAACGGCTGTATATATATATATTTATTTATTAGGGCTGTCCTCGACTAAAAAATTGTCTGGACGACTAGTAGGCCTAGTCATTCATTTGTAGCATTAGTCGACTAAACACACATTTACTAATAAACAATTTAAATCATAATAGGAGGAGGCTGCTTTAACATTTTAATAATTAATTGATAAACTACTGCTTTCTTTGTTTTCTGTTTAAGAGATGAAGTCGGCGACACAGACTCGTCATCTCCGCAGTTGTGGCAAAGCTGAATTTTCATTACTCCAGTCTTCAGTGCCACATGATACATCAGAAATCACTGTAATACATCCTATTGATTGTTGCTTGTCAGGATTGTGGCTGGATATGACAAAAAAAAACCCCTCAGAATTACACTGAAGAGAAAGCTCGTTATATGTCATAACTGGTTAGAACACACTGTGATGCATAAATGTATATAGGCAAACATTTAGTACTGTTAGTACTGCATTAATTTATCTGCTGAGTGCTTGAGTAGACAAAATTACAAAAAATCCCATTTCCCAGACAGAGACGCACACACATTTTTATAGCTGGTGCGCTCATTCACGCTTATCTTCAGAGTTACACAGAGCTACCTCAGAGCTATTGATTCGAGACTTTATGATTTTTATGAAAAATCCATTTTCATTTTTAAATTTCTCTGGGCTAACTAATTAAAATCAGATAGGTGAGATAACAGACATCTAAAGAACAGCTGAGTCAATAACTGTATTTTGAGGTGAATTCTCAGATTTAACTTCCATATCATGAGGACCCAGTAATCCACATAATTTCCCTCAAGAGAATGTGCGAGCACACACACACACACACACACACACAAACTGGCTGGAAGACTGTTTGTATACAGGCTTGTAATAGCTTCTTGCTAAAAAGACAATTGATTTCACAGGTTATTTCATTTGGAAATAACCCCAGAATAGCCCCTAAACCCTAACCTTAACCCTGCTAGCCCCAGACTCACAAATCACTAGCCTTAACCCCTAAAACACCAACTTTAAGTTTTGTGTTAATGAAGATTTCGTGGGTCTGAGGCTAGCAGGTTTAATCAAATTCTGTACAGAAATACTAATAATTATATAATTAAAAA